CTCCCCACTCTTTCCCGTCTTCCGTCCCATGCCCACATCTTCAAACGGTGGGGCAAAATATATGTTGTCAGAATATATTCGGTCGCTTATGAATGAATCGCTCTATCTATACTTAGTTAATGGATACATATGGAACCTGTAACTGAAAAATACTGGGTTGTGTCATCCCTACTTTGGAAACCTAGCGCCATCACAAAGCAATAAAAAAGTTATACCCACCTTTAGGCACTTTGGTCTGGATTCTGAGCTTTTTTACCTTTTAAGACGGTAGAAAGTTTAACTTTTTAGTATAAGTTAGAATTTAAATTACGAATGTTATATTGTGAAAGCATGAATACTTAATGTTGAAAAATTGAGTGAACAGGATTTGAAATTTGAAAAATTCAATCATTCCTATTGAGAGTACGAAAATCGTTTAAGTTAGGGCTTAATTCAAAAATGAAAAATATAGTAATTCCAAGACAATCAAAAGTGTCGTTTGCAGCAGCAACAGCTACAATGATTCATATAAAAAATGATCTGATTCATATACAATCTGACTAAGTTAATTTTGATAATTTTACAATTCAAATCCAGAACCCACAAACTCCCTCGTCGTTCCTTGTAGAATAAATACTAAATGCAACAATATCATAAAATTGAAGTCTATATGAGAGTAACAGCGATCTAGTTGGCAACCAAGGGTAAAGTAATGCCAAACGTACTGAAGGCTGCATCGTTCATAGAAGTATCGTGTATAACAGACTCACTAGAAATAGTGAATAGCCATAAGCTGCTTCTAGAAAAATGAAACTTGGTCAAATTAAGGGAGTTATAGTGAGAAATCCTTCTTACGAGCTTTCCTCAAGCTCGCGCCTTATACTCCTGTCCGCATGCAGGTTCTACTTATTAATCCTCAGAGCTCACTTGAACACTACATTTCAACACACTTCACTTAAACACACTAGAAAACACAATAAAGAGCTACACCAAATTGAAAACCTTAATCCTACATATAATAGCCAGGATGATCTTCCGCAGTTGCCGTAGTAGAACCAATATATCCTGTCTAACTAACTAGACTAACGACCTATTTCCTTCAATTCCCGTGAGAAACCAAACATTTACTCAGGTTTTTGGAATAAATCCATGCAGTATTGAGTTTTTTGCGACATTTCGAACACACAGTGCTACCAAACTAAGATGATGATATGACCGTTTTCCAAAGGGACGATCCCTTTGGATCGCTTCAATTCGTCGTTCGATTTCACTTTTTTTGTTAATGACAATGTTGTCGCAAGATCCAGTTTATAGAGATTCAAACCAACGTTCTATGTTTACAATTGTTTGGGTGATCGTCGTTTAACAATAACAGGTTTCTCTGCCAAATATAAACAATCCAAACGCTCCAATCAGCGGCGAATTAGACAATTTTATGCCAAATTAAATGCTAGGCCCTTGAATCGGTTTTTCGCTCGATTTTTATGAAATTTTCAGCCGTTTCAGCCTGATTTGTTGTACAGAGGCTGCATTAATAGCATATTCACATTAAAGCCGGATCATGATTTGTACATTAATTTCCTGTTCGCATGATTCGCAACGATCGACAGAATACTTAACTTTATTTTGACACGAACCTTCGGATGAATCTTTTGTTGGATTTTTGTAAAACTTTGCTCATTTATAGCTTGATATGTTGTGTTGCCTCAATGGTCGATCCAGATTCAATCCAGGTCATGATCGGTTAATGTTGCTCTTTGCTCGCATCATTCACCCCGGGTGAATCACCCGTCGAACATGAGACCGATCAAAAGTCTCACTACAACACTTTTTTTGTCGTTATTTTTGCAATAGAGTAGTAAAAGTAGTAATCATTCCTTGCGTATGGTAATGCAATTGAGCTATCAATCCGTTCAAATCCACATTCAATTCAATCAAATACACATGTTGAAAACCACTTTTGTATTTAGTTCACATAGCGAAAAAAAACTAATTGCAAGGTGTTTATGCTTAATTATTTTGTTTTCCCTTTATATTTTATTGTTCTATAATTTTTTAATAGTTTTTAGTGTGTTTAGTATTTAAAATTCGCGCTTTCTATCTATGTAAGCTGCTATTGATCTTAATTTCATTCAAGTTTTAACCGTGATTTGTAGCTGATTTAACTTGATAAATTTACATGATTAAATGATACAGAAATAAAGCTGCAGAACGCCGAAAGTTGAATGTGCATAATTTTTTTTATTTGTATTATATGCTCGTTTCTTAACGGTAACAGGTTCAGATTAATATTCAATTGAAGCCTTGTTCAAATTTTAGGGCAGATTTGATCTAGATGAATCTTGATATTAAAAATTGAAAACTCATTTACCGCCATCACCAGCTTATCTTTCATCAAAATTATTTAAAACAATTTAAAATCAATAAATGCATTATTCGGAATAACTTTGAGAAAATATCCAACTATTGAAAAATAAAGAATATAAATAAATAGCTTCTATTCACAATTTAATTTCAATTTACATCTCACATGTAGGTTTTTCAGCTAATAATTGAATAAATTGAACTATTTTCGCCTGTATAATTAACTGCTTTTTTCATTACAGTCTTATTTAAGAACTCAACTGGGTTTATTTTACATTATTACTAATTTACTTTATTTAAAATAAATAGTAAAAATAAATGAAGAAAGTTTAACACTTTCTTATATAAAAAAATTAACAAACTTACGACACAAATAAGATTATCTGCATATCTGCATCCTATATTTCTCGACTGTTTAGGTGATTGCAAATAATTCACTTGAAATCGATCTTATCGATATAACTAAGTAGTTTATCGAGATATATTTTCTACATTGTTAGGCGGATCTGAATTTTTTGACTGTCTACTAGGTTTCTATTTATAAACTATTTCACTCTGCAGTCATATTTTTTCTTAATAAATAATTATTGGTTTCTTTATTTCTTAATGTAACAGTGCTGTGCCTGTTTCATATTTTACGATGACCCGGCAGAAAAAATGAAACAAATTGGCTGTAATCACGATTTTTCTAGAAGAAGGTGGTGGATCGAAGTGCTTCGAAAAAATTTTAAACAAAATGCAATGAAAACGGCATTTGCGTGGGCGACTATGGACTATAGGCTTAAGGAGAAAATTAATGTTTTTCCAAGCACTTCGAAAATAACAGCATATTTTTCGCATGGCCATTTAACAAGCCCGAGTGAATGAAGAGTGAAAATTTACTGGTCACTTTTCACTTATTTTGGGTTTAGACGATTCACTACTGGCGGAAAAGGACACAAATTATGACAAAGTGAATGGGCTGATTCTACAATTATCCATAAATTTGCAATAAATGCTCGGAACGCTCAATGGTTTTATACTTAAAAGTAGATAAAATAATCACTGAATTTTGTACATAGCAGGAAAAACACAGAAAATGTATTTTTTTAGCAAGCAGATGCACAAACATACATAATTAATTTCAATTCTAGTTGCCATTTCATTCTATATTTTGTTTTGTGTTTTTATTCTTTATTGCATTTATCAATTGTATTTCAAGTGTGTAGTTGCAGATTTTTCCCATATATCTTGAGAATTTCCCAATAGTTTATCATTTTTGAAATACATAATTTGGAAAACTTCATTATAAACTAGAATTTGGTCCTACTGACTATATTGTTAGATTCATATTTAAAATATTCAAATTTGGCACCTTTTTGATAGAGGAACGGTTCCCGAATGTAAGTACATAAGGCCGTTTAGCGCTCACACAGCCGTCCATAAAGGACACCGAACACGCGAAAATAGCGTCGAATTCGTGCGTGGTGAGTCTGCCTGACAAGACCCAAAAACCCCTTTTTTCTAATAATATTTTGTCGAATCCTGTCTACACTATAGCGTGATTTTGTATATAAAATGTACATTTTTATGTACTGCGAATTATTTTAGATTTTGTATACGAAGACATTAACTGTTTTTGGGTAACGCATTATGTACTTATGCATACCAATTTTAACCAGTTTGATTAAATGCGACACAAAACTAGTGTAACTCTTAAATCATTCCGATAACTATTCTGATCTAACGGCAGATTTTTCTTTCTATTTCATGCTTTTCGTTTAAACAATTTTGCTCTTTATACTTCTAGTAGGTACTCTAGTTTAGCGTTCTATTATTATTCAGACTTAGATTTTTTACTAATCGAGGGTTTTACGATTCCGATCCTGGTTAAGTGGTCTGTTGTTGACGCAAAATCTAAAGCCCAAGCAAAAAAACCTAGCAATTGGCAACAACTTTTGAACTTGTGCATGTGAGCAAAGCCTTTGTCTAATGCACTTCTCCCCCACTTCTTACCCGGATCGAATCGATAAACTACCGGTTTTATGACTATATAAAGAAGTTCCACATAATTGAATTTATTGACTTATAAGCAAAAGATGTTGAAGATTTATTGCATTGCCTTCTTGGGGGTGTTCCCTTTAGTTTCCCTGGGATCACCTTTGATGGTTCCACTGGGTGACCGTTACTTTGTCTCCGAGTACAAAGTAAGTATACATTATTTTAAAATATGTATTTTTGAGAGTTTCAAACGTTTTCTGCCTAATCAGTTTATTCAAAAAATTAATATTTATTTGTACTTGCAGGCCTCGTTTGTTCATGCTTTAGCAGTATGTAAAATGATGGACATGGATTTGCTTAGCATCCAAAGTGAAGCTGAGAGCGAAAGCGTATATGATATAATGAATTCTGCAGGTTTAGCCGTTGTCGGCAGTAAGTTAGTCTTAAGACTAGGTCGTCTTAAATCTCATAACTGTATTTTGTAGGGTCATACTGGATGGGTGGAGCTCACCTAGACGTTGATACCTGGGTGTGGATAGATACGGGAAAACTTCTCACTTTTGTTAAATGGGGAGCAAATGAACCAAGCCTCCCTACCTCTGAAGATTACTGTCTTCAATTAGGGAAGGATAATGACGGCAGAAATCCTCGCTTTTGGCAATCCAGATTATGCTCAACTGAGAGCTATTATGTTTGTCAAGTGAAGGAAACTTAGATTTATGATACCGCATAAATAATCATGTTAAAACTAAATGCAGACGATTAAATATTCTTATTGTCCAATTAATATTTTTTTTTATTTTTTTTCGTTATTAACGTATTGAAAATACTGTTTAATTATTGCCTTCATTCAACCAAAAATGATGTTTTCACTTGATTAAACTGTTCAGACCCTAGATTTACTGACCGCCTTGATAAGTAATAAATTAAAAACTATTAAAAACAAACTTTGATAAAGAACGACTTCTAGACAGATACTACAATACGTTGAACAACGCTTTTTCTCTATGTGCAAAAAAAAAAAAAATAATAGTTCTAATAACAGTCGAAATCTTTCGGGTAATGATGGATATCTACTGGAATATGCTCCATACAAAATCTACTTTTGAGTTATTGCAATTGATGCCAAAAAATGATATCCAGCGGGCCTACAAATAGTAATTTCAACTGTAAACTCTCTTAGTCTAAATAAAATCTTCATTTCTGGGGCAAATACACATACAGAAGTTTTTTTGTTATTGTGGTACAAAGCTTTAACAGATGGCCTCTTACGATATTTAACAAAGTATACATACTTATATCTAATTAAAAAAAAACGATTTGTGCCAGTGTGGAATACTTTGAAATATATTTTTGATAACAATAATAATATCTGTAATAAGCGCATATGGTATATATATCGTGCTATTTTGTCTCGATTCTTTTGTGATTGCATTGATAATGTGATAATGTTAGTGAAAATAATTCACTTGAAATCGATCTTATCGATATAAATAAGCCCCTCATGTTTTAAAAATTGTTTTGTAGATTTTAGCTGTCTACTGTGTGCGGTTATTAGTTGAGTTTTCCTTTGTAAGGGCGTATCCAGGGCATGATCCCCCCTGATTTGAAAGCTGGATCCGCCGCTGCTTCTAATATCTATGAATAATCTGAAATAAAAAGCTTGAAATTTATCTGCAATTTTCAATAAAGCAGTAAATGATAGGTAAATAAAATATAAAATAATATATGACATCAATTTGACAAAAATTTACAGTGATCAGTACGAAAATTCATGATAGTTCTTATGTATTTGTTTTATTTCCTGTTTTAAGAACTGATAAATGTCTTTATACTATCTTGGAGTTATACAGATTAAAAATTCTTTTAAAATTTGCTCAAAATGAATCAGTCACTTATTTTGAAATTTTTTTTTATTCTTGTATACTTTTGGAGCAAATAATAATTTTCTGCCCATTATCTACTTTATGTTCAAGCTCTTTTTGTATTTCTACAATGTTTTTATTTTGATCACACTTTGAATGTTTTCTCTATTCATTGTTTCATGAATTTAATTGAATTTAATAATATCTCCTTTAGAGGTTTACGCCGACCAAAACCTTATCGGTTCAAAATCCATAACGAAATCCATAAGTAACGAAACAACTTAGATATTATCAATTTGCATTCGCTCTGGATTTCAAGTATGTAAACAAACTTTTCGCTTATAGCAATTTTCTCCCATTTGTTACAGACATGCAAAAAAAAACAAACCCTTTAAACAATATAAGATGATTATATCGCAGCAGACTTATAAAGAAACTTTAGAATTTGGTTTATTGTTTAAGAAAATATGTTCAAGTTTTATTATATTGCTCCAGTGTTCGATGAATTCCAGAGGCAATCTCAATGGGGTACGCATGAGCTCATTTGGTAGGACTTTATTTTCCAGCAGTATTTGTATTCCTGTTGTAAAGCTGCCTAGTTTCACATCCTCTAATTCGCACCCTCTACAGAAGAGCTGATGGGACATTCTGAAAAAGTGTCTTAGTTAGGGGGTGTAAACGTTTTTAGTTCTTCTAAACAGCCTGTCTTCCGATTGTGCACGATGTTAGAGCCGTAAGATGGTAGTATGAGTCTGCTTGTACAGGGTTTTTCTTCATTTTATATTGTCTTATTCTTCATATAACTTTTCTTTTTCGAGGATGCCATATACTATTACTACATATACGTCCTGTTCATTACGTCCCTGGGAGCAAAAAATATAACGTTTCTGGGACGACTCGCATGGGATCTGCATGAGATACTAGGGACGGCCTAGGGACATCTTACCAAGGACCATCCCATGCGGGAGAACGGGAATAATAATAGAACATCCCACGGACCATTCGTGTTAACTGGGATAATCCTTCTATTAAACAGGTGTCGTGAAGAGGGTAAGATTCTTGATGATTGGAGAAATGCAGGAGTGGTCCTTCTATACAAAAAGGGCGACTGTACAGACATTAACAACTACAAACCTGCCTGCTGTCCGCATTTTACAAAATGTGTTACGTGCAAATATTTTGCCGTAAACCTTTGAATATGTTTTGGACATCGGTGTGCGTTTTATAGTTGTTGTCAGGCAAAGGCGTTTTGTTTTTTTATCATAGAGTTAAAATTTTGATGTAAAATCCGAAAAGTAAAAATTTGGCCATTCTTATCGCGATGAAAAGATTGTTAAGCAGATAGCGTGGGATCACGTGTCCGTTAGGCAGAATTAATTTCGGAATCTTTTATTCCTGTGCCAACGGAAGGTTGGGGGGAAAATAATGTAGTGGGCGATTTTTGTTGGCGGGTGAGAAAATTACGCCGTGATCATTCGATCGAGTGGTCGATTTTTGAGAGTTCATACTGCAGTGGCCGAATTTTTAGAGTTTATACCGCATGGTCGGTTTTTGAGTATTTTATTTTTAGTATCAAAATACTCCTTGATGATCGCTTTCAGCCCGGGTAAAATTTTGATACACAGAAGCCGGATAGACGAATTTATGATGGCCGCCATGACTGCGTGTCACTGATTCAAAGTTCTTGCAACAATTCCTCAAAACCAGCTCTTTTGGTAATCTATCGAGGGTTTATCACCTTAAGAGGGAGCTATCGTGACTATTGGCTTTTGGGATCTTGATGTTGATCCTGCTTCTCCTGTTCTTTTGGTACAAGTTGTATGCTACTTGGAAGCGTACTGGGCGCCCAACTTTATGGTGAAAACAATTATCATATATAGTTTTTATTTTTTATCGTTTGTCCGATTTTCCAATTCATCTTTTTCCGTTTAATTTTTAGATTCATCCTTTATTGAGTTGTTGATTAGTTAATGACTTTATGCGTTCCATTGCATTTTCGTCCAATTTATTTTCTCCTTTAATTCTCATTCACAGTCGAGCCTAAGTAATTTCGGATAATATTTTGGTACTCCTTTATTGTGGATTTTTCTTTCTATTCTGTAACTGAACTGATCACTCCAGCTGGTCCCCCTCGGGATCCTTCGCCCTTCACCATCCATAGCATAAAAGTGTTTATTTTCTTTTATAAAGCCATAAATTTTTATCAGTCAAATACATTCAATTTTTTGTTCAATCTAATCGTTCTTTCGTTTTACAATTGTTAGTTCCTTTTTAGTTTTTGCTAGTTTTTTTTAAATACATCAGTTGTTCCGTTGAATTTGAATGTGCCTAATTTTGTGTTGTCCATTAAGCGTTCAAAGTCTTACTTGCTAGCCGCAAAATACTAGCTCTTGCTCTAACTCACGCCCGAGGTAATTACAATCTACTTAGAAATACAATTCATAACAATTGTTCATAAAAATTATAACGAACCGAATTTAGAAAAGGTTTCAGTACAACAAACCATATCCAAACTGTTCATATTCTTATCAAGAGATGTAAAGAGTATACGTTCCATGGTATCCATCGATTACCGTAAAGCGTTTGACACCGTGGAAACGCGGTTAGTATTGCGGACAATCAACGAGGCTAGAATTGATTTCAGATACTCAGATATCCTCGAATATACCTACGTACAATCATGCTATCCTACACATTAAGACACAAGAAGACCAAGTTACAGAAAATATCCCAGTTTGAAGAGGTGTACGCCAGGACGATGCGATTTCTAGCAAAATCGTTCCTCTTCGATTAGAGCATATCTTTAAAAACATATTATGGAAACAAAGAGAGGTTAGCATAGATAGAGAATACCAGAGACAAGGGATTATTACTTGTCTTTCGAGAGTACCTTAGCTAACTTAGATTCGCCAACGACATCGTATAGATAAGAACCGACGAAGATCAATTAGAACAAAAGATTCGGGAATTGCATCAGGCATCTATGGCTGTAGGTTTGGAAATAAACCTTGACAAAACGAAAGTATTGAGCCATAGTCGTATTGCGATGACTGTTAACAGTTTCGTTCTTGAGGTTGTTGAGAGGTACGTATATCTTGGACACACGATCATGCTCGGGGCAGAAAATCAAACTGCTCAAATCTCCAGACGAATCGGGTTGTCCTGGGCTGCATTCGGCAAGTTGGGGCATATACTTAAGGATATCTATATACCAAATATCCCCATTAGCCTCAAGCGTAAGGTCTACAATGTTTGCATACTTCCAGTTACCATAAACGGACTCGAGACTGCCACAATAACGAAAGGCAGTGCAAACCGTTTACCGGTTCTCCAGAGAGCAATGGAAAGACGGGTGCTAAACGTGAGGCTAAGAGATAAAATCACAAATCAGGAGATCAGGAGGAGAACACGAGTCAAGGATGCAGGGAAGCAAATTTCTAGAAACAAATGGCGATGGGCGGGCCATGTCGCGAGAGATGATGTAAAATGGACGAAAAAAGTAATGCAATGGAGACCCAGACAATCTAAGCGGAGCGTGGGACGACCGATCGGTCAGGAAGGCCAGATGGCATGACGATATCCAACGCCATGCCGGAAAGAGTTGGATACAGACAGGTCTGGACAGAAAAGCGTGGAGACAGATGGAAGAGACCTACATTCAGAAGTGGACGTGTATGGGCAGGCATTTTGAACAAAATATATACATAATAAAAAAAAAGCGTTTTGTTGAAGTGTGGAATATTTTGAAAGATATTTGCGATAACATCGTGAATAAGTGCATGTATTTAAACGTGCTATTCATGCACGATTCCTTTATGATAGCATTGATATTGTTAGTGAAAATAATTCACTTGAAATTGGTCTTATCGATATAAATGAGCACCTCTTAGAAACATGTTTTCTAAATTGTTTTGTAAATTTT